ATTCCTCAAGGACCTAGAAATAGAAATTCCATTTGACCCAGCAATCCCATTAATGGGTATATATCCAAAGGATTACAAATCGTTCTACCATAAGGACACGTGTACACGAATGTTCATTGCAGCACTGTTTACAATAGCAAAGACCTGGAACCAACCCAAATGCCCAACGACGACAGACTGGATAGGGAAAATGTGGCACGTATACACCATGGAATATTATGCAGCCATCAAAAATGACGAGTTTGGGTCCTTTGTAGGGACATGGATGAATCTGGAAACCATCATTCTCAGCAAACTGACAGAAGAGCAGAAGATCAAACACTGCATGTTCTCACTCATAGGCGGGTGTTGAACACTGAGAACACATGGACACAGGGTGGGGAGCACTACACACTGGGGTCAGTTGGGGGGAAATAGGGGAGGGACAGTGCGGGGTGGGGAGCTGGGGAGAGACAGCAAGGGGAGAAATCCCAGATGTAGGTGATGGGGAGGAAGGCAGCAAATCACACTGCCACGTGTGTACCTATGCAACAATTTTGCATGTTCTTCACATGTACCCCAAAACCTAAAGTGCAACAAAATAAATAAATGGGGAAAAAATATATTCACTGAATCAATCAAGTCCATTCATTTACCTATTATGTACAGGTGCTCTGGAGCTACAACAGTTGGGCTGAATAGCTGCAATAACGACTGTACAGGCCACACAGCCAAAAATACTGTGCCAAACAGTAAATGAATGTCCAGCTCCTCCCTTCCCCAGTCCAACAATTACAGTACCTAGATGCCCAGTACAGATTGAGAGAGAAAACAATGTGAGCACAAAAGCCAGTCTTGTTGCTACTACTGACAAACCGACCTCTCCTATTCAACAGAGGTTGAAGGAGGTAACAGTATAAAGATCTCTCTACTCTGAATATTAGTTTCAGTTCCAGCTTCCTAAGAAATTGGCAAGTTCAGACATTAAACACATTCCCCAAACTTCAGATTCAGGAGGAAGATAAATGTAGGAATACTTTCAGAAATATCTCCTAAGCCAGAAAAAAATACATATTGAATCCTTATGTTCCACCACGTCAACTTAAAATTTTTGAAGCTTTTACACAAAAGAAAAAATAGATTTTGAATAGGCATTCAACTTACATAGATTCAAATAAAATACCACTTAAAATCCTATTTTAAGGTAAAAAGTCTTGGGCAAGTTAACTTCTCCGTATCTTAGTTATTGCATCTGAAAAATGGGGTATTAACACCACCTACCTCATAATTTTTTTAAGAACTAAATGTGTTAACACATGTAAAAGGTGATTAGAACTCTTAGCACACAGTAAATATTCAAATATTAGCTATTTATTAAAATGATATAGCAATGCTCTAAAAAGTATAAAAATGTTCTATTTTTCCTTACCATCCATTTTTTGAACCACACAGCCTTGGTATCAACTAACGCAAAAAAGTAGATTGGATCCAAAATCTTTTGTGAGACAACATGGCTTTGATCATGTTTAACTGTTAACAAGGACAAAGTACTCTCCACAATTTCTTCCATATACCTTAAGGTTTGGGAAAAAAGAAATGCAATTACATATATAGTACTGGTGGTATACTTTATATTTATGGAACGATAAAGTAGCACATAATCTTCAGAAACATTTTTTCTATTTCAGTAAATTACATAGGGAGGATTCACACTCAATGTTTCTGTTTTAAAAACAGGCTCTTTATACTTCAACACTGGGTCTGCAAATTTAACTGTCCTTTTTAGACTCACAGATGTTCTTACAACTTAGTATACATTTTAGAGATGTAAGGAAAAAAGTGTAAAGAATACTTAAGGAACTTGTACAAAATATAATAGCAAAAACCAATAAGAACCTAACACAGACCTTCATCAGTAACACGTTAAAAAAAAAAAAAAAACCTAATGCTACATTTTCTTTTAATCTTTTAATAAACGATGTAAAATGGTACTTTTATAGAGTGATTCACATAGCTAAGCATAAAATGACAAGCTTAAGAAAAAAGAAAATAAAAACTTCATTAATCCCTTCCCAATCAAGTAAGACTATTAAGAGTGTCTTCACTTTTTCTATCTGAAATGTATATGAGGTGGTAACACTGCTAGGTTTTATGCTGGCATATGTTGGGAGGGGACTTACTTGTCTGGATGACGAATCCAGAAAGATGGAGCCTCTTTCTGATACTCATTTAGAAGACGAACCTACAAAGCAGTCCACCATAGTCCTCAAAAAATTAGAATCCTCAAATATAAAACTAAATAAATAAAAATAAAATCATATTCTAATAAATGTATACCTTTTTAAGTAAGCGAGTCATATTAGGATTAGTTATATCTACACCAGCCGAAAGAGTAGGAATATGATTTTCCCTAGAAAGAAAGTATAACTCCAAATACTTAGCTGAAAAAAAAAGGAAAACATAAAATTACATCATTCATTTACAGTGCTTTCTGAAAAAGTTATTTCCTATCCATTCTTCTTAAGGACATGAAAATGACAAAAAACATTTTTAAAGGTTTTCATAAACATACCTAAGCGTGTATAAATTTCCTTGGTCATATGTAATGGAGAAAGTGAAAATGTCTGTGCATAGAATTTTAAAATCCGGTCCTGTGAAAATGAGACAGAAGATTTTCATCTAAGATCTTATAAGAATAGAACAGAGATGAAACATTTTTCACACGGTAAAAACTCAGAAAATAAAATAAATACACATAAACCATTCAGAAACCAGAGTTGGAATGTACTTATTTTAAAATGGCACACTCTTGTGTCAGCAAAATTAAAATCAACCAAAACTAATACATGAATCTAATAACAGAAAGATATTACTGTACAATCTGACCATAGTAGAAACTAACATGGTGAGGAGGGGGTAAAGTGAGGTTTCATAGAGACAATGTAAAGGTGTCAAACAAAGGAACAGAGTAGGCAGCACTAATTTTTTTAACACCCCATATTTCAAAATCCAAAATTCATCATTTTTAATTGCTTACATGGGTAGCTTCAGTAATTAGAGATTCAGAATTATTCCTAATAATTTTGCCTATTCCCAAAAAAACTCTATGTTTAAATTTTTACATTATTAAAACTCACAATAGAAACCATTAGAAGGCAAATAAATTAAATTTGCCAACAGATGTAGTTGCACAATGCCTGGCAGTAAGAGATGCTTTAAAATCGCAGGGATTATTATCCTTTTAATTATACCTACTTTAATGTGATGAGATTAATCCTAATAGTGAAATTCAACTTTCCATAAAATAAAAACATAAAATTACCTTAAATATTCTAACGGGGGGGGAAGAAATAGTAACTCTGTTGATATCATTTTAGATAATCTGATTACAAGAAACAGTTCCCCAAGTGACTAAAGGTATCTTCTAATAGCCCCAAGAAATTACTACTGAAAACGGATTTTAAATTGGGAAGTCTGTTTTTATAGCTTCAGGAATTGACAGGTGTTTGTCACAACCCTAAAGGCTGCACTCTGTTGCACGTAAGAGTCCTTTAGAAGAGGAGATGAAGAAACAGAATTGAACTCAAAAAGAATTTGGATCAAGCACAAATTTAAAATGAAAAAAAAAACTTGTCTTGTTTTATACTTCAAAATGACTAATTTTGTTACAATCTCTATAATAATTGCTTCCAATTTTATTAGCATAAGTAATAAAACTGAACATTGCTGCACAATAATTTTAAATGGCTACAATTTGCTATCTTATAAAGTTATTACATAATTTATAAAATAGAGGAAACCTATCCAGCTACTATCCTGTATTTGTTGTTAAAAAAACAGGGAAATTTACAATTGCATCTCTCATTAGAGAGCTTGAAATGCTAAAGATAGTCCTAAGATATATTTTTCACCTTGAAGTTCTTGGATCGTTGAGTTGTTCCAGAAGTCTACAATACCCTCTGGTGTTAACAAGGTTGAACTGCATGCAAGTATTAGGTAAATACCTTCCCCTTACGAGAATTACAAAGTGATTCCAAACCACTTCTGTATACCAGTATAATCATATCTTCATTAAAGATAGACCTATTTTAAATAGACATATTGGGATACCTTATATTTTTCTATAACTATTTATTTATTTTCTGTGTTAGCTACTGAAATCTAAGTTCCCTGAGGGTGAAGACTTTGTATCTGGTCCATGGTGTATTCCCAGTGTCTAAACTAGAATGATACACACTGCAGATATTCAATACATAGCAGTTGAACAAAGAGCAAAATGTAACTCTTCTGCTAATGCCTTAAATTCTAGGCCAAACATCATATCGATTTTAAAGCCAAAACTGTCTTCACTGATATATCAATTAGGAAGAAAAGATCCTTTGTAAGGAAATCCAATTTGTGTTTAAAATGTAATTCTTGGATAATCAGGGTTTTTTGTTTCATTCCCATCATTGACACTATCTGTAGAATTACTGCACTTGTTAATGTAAGCTTACTTTTCATCATCATATAACTGTTCCTAAAAAGTCATATGCAAATCAATTTGTATAGAAAATCATATCTATTGACTTCCTAATTTTATAATTTTAGAAATTTTCTATATTTGCTTTATGATTCACTTCAAATTATTTTCTAAAATCTCAGCCTTAGTTTACTAGCTTCTCTTTTTAAGCAGTTAAGCAATCTCTAAACACTTAAATACATGAGGAAAACGAATGCTTATAAGCCCTTTTGAATAAACCATAATTCATCAGTTTAGCTCAAATTTTCATGTACCATGAATTCTTTTAAAATATTTTTCTTTTTTTTTTTTTTTT